TCACTTTTGTAAACAATTTCAAAGTTTTTTACGTGTAAAATACCATTTGTATTTTTACACCCTGCGTATACTTGATATTAAGAGCCTTAACAATTTAAGTTGATTTACGCCGCAGCGCAAAAAACAAAGTTAATTGTGTTTGGGGACGAGTGACCTTCTAATTGCTGAGTAGTTCGTCCTCTAATTGAAATGTGCACGCATAATTAATTTCGCCCAGCAAGAAATTTAATTGTGCTTCCGCAGAATCCTCAGAATCAATTTGAATGCCAGAGTCGGCGTTGCTAAAGTTATCATTTCATCGGGTTGGCGGGAATGGGAGACTGAGGTTTATTATTATTGTTGGCACAGCGGCTATTCAAGCAGCTCGTTTCCAAAGGCAAAAACAATCCCGACGGTCAGCGGACGCTGAAGGAAAGTCAGAGGAGGGGGAAATCTGCAAAGGGAAACAGCTTAAGTCATTTCGACCGCGAGTTGTGTAATCCTTTGCCAAGGAATCGGATCTGAATTCCATGTGTTTGTGCCCCGAATTGCTGCCAGTTTAACAGTTAGGGCTCAAATGGTAAGCTAAGAATGGTAAATTGTTGTTTATTATGACCTTTTTTGAATACAAAATATTTATATATATTTATAAAGACACATTTCATTATTTATTCCTGGAACTGTGTACTTTGTCAGCATCTTTAAGTCCTTGAAGTGCACAAATGTAAATACAATGCAAATGTAATTTCATGAGTTTTTTCTTTCCAAATTCAGGTTAAGTCAATGTTAAAGAAGAATATTGGAAAATTTCTTGGGTAAATTGGTTTGTTTGCCTTCCGTCCCTTTTGAATGGGTTGCTTGCGCTTTTTTAGTTGTTTTTTTTTTCAGATAAATGCAGTTCACACATGCCAGAGTGAAAGAGAGAAACAAAAGTATCTGAAAGATACACGCTTGGCAACCCAAGCTACGCTCGCAACCAGTTGATTTGCCTTTTGAAATTCTCGCACGTTTGACGGCAGTCGCGACTCCTATAAATTCATCATTTTATTTAAAATTTCACATTCGCTGACAATTTCATGGCCTACGAAATGTGGGCTCGAATCTTTTGTTCTTTCACTCTCTCTTCGTACACAGCGAAAAATGTGTTTAAAATGCAAAGTCTTTACCTTCAAATAAAGGTCAGCCGTGGATTGTAATTTATTAAACTTAAATTGAAATATTAGAGCAAAATACTTAATATTTGAACAAGATATGTCTTTTCAATGCCTATTTCTCTGCGTATTATTTCGGGAACATTGTACTTTTCTAAAGTTGCTAATGATCCCATTATCACTGCGCATTGTTAAATGCGCTCGGCAGGCCTGGAAATATTTGCCCAGTTGACAGGTATGCGATATCTGGCTGTCTCTTTCGGCTCCGTTCGCCCCCTCTCTTTCGCGCCAGGAAGAAACCTTGGCAGTTCATTCTGATGCCGCACCGCGTGATAAGTGGGTCAGTAAAACGCACGCCGGCACCAAATAATAAAAATAAAAAACCCACACAGTATAAAATAAGAAAATAAGAAAAAAACGAAACTGAAACAATAAAAAAGTGTCACACCTGATTCTCGGGGGCGTGGCAGTGGGGTGGGTGCTTTACATAAATGTTATAAATATAATAAAAATGTTATTTACACGCTTTTGAAAAGAGAAAGTCCAGAACGGGGCACGCGCACATACGAGGCATGCATTCATTTACTTTCGCATTTGGTTTTTATTCCGCTTTGTTTTTCGTTTCGTTTTTCGTTTTTAATTTTATTTCGCCAGTTCACCCCTTTTCTTTTTCTGGCTTGCTTAATTTCGAGCAATTTATATGTGAGAACTTTTCGGGGTAGATGTCTGTACATGGGCAATAACACAGCTTTTATGGCCAATTTATGGATGGTTTTTTCTTGTGTGCCGGTTCGTCGAACGTGCGTTAAATTTGGCAACTCGACATTTGGGTGTTCTTTTTCGCGGGAAAGTTCCCCATAGTTGCGATCGTATCTTGATAAAGGTGTTTAGATATGCCCATTTTACAGTTAAGAGGCGCAGATCGGCCAAATACTTTGCGTCCCAACTGTTTTCTTTTCTCACGCCTAGTTCTTAAGATCAAGCTGTGAAAGAATCCATAAATAAACGGTTATATAAATAAAATAAGCTAGTACCGAACTTGAGTTTTGTATAGTAAAATACAGAAACACTCTTATTATTACTTGCAAGAAAATCTAATATTTAATGAGGTCATAAAATTAATCCTGCTGATGCCTAGGTTACAAGGATTCCATTTAGATTTTTCTAATTAAGTGATCATTTTCACTGATCGAAAAGTTCAAAAAAGTTAAAAGTGTACTAAGTTAGAGTAGAAAAACAAGATAGATTGCTATAGTCGAGTTCCCCGACTATCAGATACTCGTTACTCAACTAGTGGAAGTGCAAACGAGAAATTTCAACATTTTATGGAATATAGATAGAAATTGGGAAAGAAGTAAAAAATTAAAAAAAAAATCTTAAAAATCATCATACAATCAAAAAAATTACACATTATTTTGACTATTCGGAAACGCTTCCTTCTGCCTGTTACATACTTTTCAACGAGTCTAGTATACTCTTTTACTCTACGAGTAACGAGTTTATTAAACAAGAGCGTGCCAATTTAGAAAAGGTTTGTTTCTTTTTAGAGATCTATGAAGTTGTTCTGCGGTTAATGAACCCTGGAAGGGTGCGACTTTTTTAAACTATGTAAACAATCTTCATCGAAACGGAAATGCTTGCACATTTGCATAGGAAAAGTTGAGAAATCTGCGAGCTTTATTTATTAGATAACTAATAACTAAGGCAAACAACATACTCTTGTTGTTGACATAAATGCAAACTGCGAATATTGCGAGCTTCTTATTTATTTTATACTATTGACTTAGTTATTGGATAAGTCACATTGTAGATTTTAAAAAATAAATAAAATTGAAACGGATACTTATCTTATAATGAAACGTAAGCTATTTCTTTAACATGGTAAGCTGAACAGGACTAACAGTTTTTAAAACAAATAAGCAGAATCCAAACGGATTTGAGAAAGTTGAGTACATGTATCGATGTTCTGCTACCATTCATTAGTTCAAGTCTAATTTTATCTTAGCTATCTTATCTATCCTGTAATTGTAATTGAAGCAGACACACCCAGCGTCGTTGACATTGCGTTCGTTCTCGTTTTCATTTTCAATTCCGATGGCCAAGGTCGATCCCGACCTACATCCTGCTACAAATAACTCGATGTCGTCCAGCTCCCGCGGACTGCTGTGGATTGTGGATAGTGGAGTGCTATAAATGTATGGGCAAAAAACTGTTGCACATTTAATGAAGGCGCCCCGCCGCTTCGCACTCCTTGACAGCCGTAATTTATGCTCACCTACAGACCGCACATAAGCGGCACATAAGCTGCGGACACTTGTCCAACCGATTGACAACATGACGTTTTGAATGCGAGACGCCACTAGTCGGCGGACAGGAGTTCCCGGACAACGGACAGCGGACAGCGGACAGCGGACATGGGCCAACGGACAGGAGCAGTTCGCTTCTCGCACTGGACAGTGGTAAAATATGACAGCGGGAGCAACAAAAACTAGCATCGATTAAAAAACAACCGCTACGTGAGCTGCACTTCAATTGGCAAATCAAGATTTGCAATGTGCCGGGCCAAAGAGCCCACTCAGTTCGTTGATTTTTCAAGTTCTTTTCAGACTTAGAAGCGTGTTTGAGGCGCTGGCACGCGTTCCATTACCATCTGCCGTCCCTAAATGATATGCACTGAAACTTATATACAGTGAGAATTACACAAAGGGGTATCAGAAAAAAGGGTATAGCCAATAAATCCATATAAAAGATTTTTAGAAAACTATGAAACCGGTTTTCTTACGCTTTGTATTTACTTATTTAACTAAATATCTATAATCCGCTTTCCATGTTTGTTCCTTAAAATTTCCATTTCCATTTTCGTTCTATGCAACCGTTTAGGCCTAAAGTCCCGACCAATTCACTGACAGTTTAGGAAAATGAAGCTGTCAATTTGGTGGTGAGAACAGCCGCAGATTTTCACCAGTGGTTCAGTGGTGCGATGACGCGGACTCGCTGACATTTAGCCACTGCCAGTGGCCCAGGCTCTCAATTAGCTTACAACTGAAGTCACTTAAGTTCTCATTGCCTGTTGGGCATAAATTCTGGCCAAGATATGAGTGGATGGCATGGCTAATTCGTGTTGTTGGTCTCATGGCCTGTTCAGCATGCAAATCCCGTTCCAAAGAAGTGGGGCAAAAAGCAAGTTACAAATGTTTCTTTTCACATGCTCCTTTTGGAGTATATTTGTTGTGAAATGGCTGTTAATTTTTAAGTATTTTTCTTACTAAAAATATCAATACTTTTGTAAACTTTGATTCATAGCTAAAATGAGCCTTGGGATTTGAGTTCTCCCAGTTTTTAGTTAATAACCTACATTAAGGGGTATTCAGAGTTCTCGACGTTTTTACAGGCTTCTCTCTTTTTGGCATTTACTCAAATTAGCATTTAAAACAAGCAAGGCTGAGCTATACGTTCACACAGACAACCGTTTATACAATTGTATTTTATATATTAAACTGTTGAGGTTTCACTGGTCGTCCGATGTGCAGATGCGGCCTAATTGGAATGCAGCAGACGTCGGCTAAAAGGGGAGCGGAACGCAAAGATGCTTAAGTTATTATTGATATTATAAAGAACATTGGCATGGCGAATTGGCCAGTGAATTGGTTGATTCAGATGTTGGACTTGTCTGCTCGACTTGTGTGAAGAAAGCTGCCGGCTGAGGGCTTAAATTGACAATTCGTAATTAAATGTGCGCTTTACGTTTCGATGGGTGTCATCAAGAACTTTACACCAAGCTGATAATAACATTCAAATTTAAGTATTTAATTTCGGGCCACATAAATATGTATCTTATCATATGGCACACTCAACTTAAAAAACGCAACTTTATTTATTTAAACGGATTAGGCTCTCTTCAGTCCGCTCATTCAAATTACGACTTCTGAAGCATTCCCTTGGCAGAAATCTAGAATAAATTTCTTGTTGAATTCAGTGTTCTGAAGCTACAAAAATGTATATACTGACCTATGGATCACTGGGGATATCAGCTCTGCCTGAAGCGTCTTGACATCAGTGGGCTTGGTTATCAAGGATACTAGTGCGCCCACCACCAATGCTGTGAGGATTCCAATGGGACCAACCCAATGGTAAGATAGACGGTATAATGGAAACACTTGATCCTGATCCACCCAAGGCTCTTCGGGCTCAGTCACATTTCCCACACATCCCTTCACGGAAACGGAAAGCATTTGGGATTTCAGTTGACCCGATGCTGCGGCGATCTGCGATCCAAATGAAACCCATCCTGCCAGCAGGACACTAGATAAAGCACCCACCGCTGTGCCTATGGTATTTGCCCATGGGAACAGCATGCCTAATGTGAATATTCCAAAAGAAGTGCCTGCCGTGATCGAGGATATCGAATTGCAGACACTCAGAATGCCTCCTAAGTGCTGTAGTAAGAATACTAGCAGAAATGCGAAAAGTCCCTGGAAAATAATGCAGGACTTAATCAGAATCGTGGACTCCCTCTCGCTGGGCTGCATCTTGAAGAATCCGCGAACTATATCCTCCAGGAAGACCAGAGAAAGCGTGTTAAAGCACGAGGAAAGTGTACTTAGACTAGCTCCGAATATTCCAGCTAAAAACAAACCAGGCATTCCCGAAATATGCCCTACACTTTGAACCACAAACAAGGGAAAAAGTTGATCGTTATTCTGAAGAAAAGGATCTTGTCAGTATGGAAAGTTTTAAAATATATCTACCCACCGAAATCAGTCCAGCACTCCTAGGATCGCAGTCCTTGTACTTTGAAAAAATTACCAATCCCATAAAGGAGCAAAGAGCGACGAAGATAGACGCTCCAATGGTGAAGATGAATGAAGCGGTTTGAGATTTCTTCAGTGAAGGTAGTGACATGTATCGCTGTACCATAACCTGGCCACAGCCATTAATAGAGGTCCAATATGAGAAGCCTCCGATGACAACGCTCCACATCGTATTGCGAGCATAGGGAGAGGGATTCAAGTTGGCCAACACCAATCGTCCTCCCTGTTCCGCGTCGGCGAAAACAGCTCCCAGGCCATTAGAGTAGTATATGGCTAAGACGACAATCGCAATCAGGGAGAGAAACATAACAGCCACCTGCCAAACATCCGTGTGGACCACAGCCTTAAGACCACCCTGCAATGGAAATCATTTATGTTAGTGACTTCCAAGTCAAAGGAAGTGCTTACCATAAATGTGTAGGTAACGCAAGCTAGTATGATGACCAGTCCAATCAGGTGGGTATTCAGGCCGGAAACTGGAGATTAGATCACACATTTATGAATTCGCAAAGTTCTTACAGACTCATTTTACCCTGATTCAACGATAACGCCGGCACATACACAACGATTGGCAAGTAAGTAAGCTGCAATTTTTAATATTTACAAGGCTTGTAACGCATAACATAAACATTAACTTACAATACTGAAGACATAAATAAAAGATGCTGTGCTCCTTATGCTCGAGTTAAATCGCATTCCCAAGTACTACAATGCAAACTAAGATAAATATTGTTTTAAAAAGCGCATATATCCCACCTCGTATGCAGATCCAATTTGTAGAGCCGAGTACACGGGCAAGTAGACATAGGACAAGGCTAATCCTTGAAGAATAATGGCTACGATGATGAGGGAATACTGGGTGCCGTAATGATAAATCTCAGAGGGAGTTCCAATGATGGTGACACCCGATACGAAGCTAAATAAAGTAATGGAAGTATTATTTGGGTAGTTAATTATCGGCATACTAGAAGCTTACCTGCCTATAAGACTTATGGATACTGGGATCAGTTTCATATTTCGAGAACCCATAAAATACTCGTCTATCTTCTCTGACACAAAATTTGTTCTTCGAGTGCCTTCTGAAGCGCTTTTCAGGTCTTTCTGTTTTTTCCTTGAGAAGATCGAGTTTGAGGGGAATTGACCAGTTGAAATACAAACACACTCACCTGAAGCCACCGAAATATATCCCCGTTCCCGTGGATAATAAAGTCACACCCAGCAGCACTAAGTAGTCTGCTGTGCCGAATCTGTAGTTGTCCATAATCCTGCTCTACTTCTGCAATGTTGTATTGCCAATATTATTTATGCCACTTAAACTAATAAGTATCGAATGGAATGAATGTTTTGAGATTGTGAGCAGTTCTGCGATATAAGAGGTACAAAATCACCGTCCGATTCCTTTCATGAGAGAAAATATACTAATCCGAAGCTTACACTTGTTTAAAATCCACACTCCACCCAACTATCACAATCAAATTAGTGAATTTATGGCGCTCCGCAGCAAAACAAGTTTTAGAGCTGCTTGGATAGACATGGAATTACCTATTTTATGGTTTCGTGACATAAGATAAATAAAAGATTAAACACAAATTTTGTTACATTTACATTTAGTAGGACCTCGTTTGATTTGATCTTTAAAAAAACATACCCTTGCTGAGAACACTTTCAACTTTAGCCAAGCATCATAATAAGTTAATCATGAAATAAATGAATTAAATATTATTAATATTATTTCAATTGGTTTTGGATACTGACTTCGACTTCCAGAATATAAGCAAAACTAGAGGGAATGCAATGGTTTGGAGATTGGAGTGCAGGGAAGGCACAGTTGTTTTAAGACATGTGTTCGCAAGTTACAGCTATGAGCACCTAACTAGGTGCTTTATTTTGTAAGTAAGTATTAATACAATGAGGATCAACGGAGGGTATTTGAAATGCGTTAAATTCGGGCACTGTGTTGTAATTTTGATAAGAAAGTGAACTAATTGAAAACAAGAGCTAGCATTCGCTCTACATTTCTACATTTTCTGGAGAATCGGTGGAAATTGCGAGAACAAATAAAAAAAGGTCAGTTTGTGGGCGGTAGAGTGGGCGTGGCAAAAGATTTTTGACCAGATCGACTCGGCTATTAATCCTCATCAAGAATATGTATATACATACTCACCAAAGAACCTAGTATACCCTTTTGCTCCACGAGTAACGGGTATAATTAATTATTCGTCTGCTTTATTATTGAGAGATTGTTAAATTTAAAACATCTATTTAAGTGTTTTTGTGTCTAAATGTGTGCCTTGTCCAGTTGGCAGGTTTCTGGTTCCAGTTTAGGCAACCCAAAACCAGATCGCGAACCCGACCTACGGCATTAATTACGTACTGCTGTTTGGTCGCCAGCTTAGACAAAGTGACGCCGACGACAAAGTCGCCTGTCGCCCTAACGCCCATAGTCCTTCGTCCTTTGTCCTGCGTCCTGCGTCCTCCTTCAATGGCACATCCTGCATTTGTCCTGTAGCCTGGTGTCGCCTTCGATGCTCGCTAATCCATTACCAGCGTCATTAATCTAATGAGCTGGTGCTGCTCGGCGCTCCTCGACGTTGTTAGTTGTTAGTTGGTGCTCGGTGCTCGCTGCTCGGCAATTGGCAATTGTTGTTGCCACCGGCGGCATGTGTCGAGTTGCCTGTGCCTCTGCATTTGGCCATCGATTCGCGCGCCCCAGTTTACTTACACATGTCAACATCATGGCCGCCGTCCATCACCTGATCCCCCAATGTGTTAATGCATGGATATGCGATTGTGGCTGCCTCCTGACCCCTCACCACTCACCGCTGACCCCTGACCCCGTGAGCTCTTGTTCCTCATCCTGAACTACTCCCATATATCCTTGTCTTTCGCAGCACTGTTGCTCGTTTGTTTGCTCGTGGCAATTAACTTGTGTTAAACTGTTATCAGCTTGTCATTCAATTGCGGGCTGCGGATTGCGAATACGAAGCATGGAGCTTAGCTTCTAGTTCTCCTTCATCATTACACAGAACACGATAGTAGGAGCAAGACATCTAAGAGGAAACTACTAAATTGTAGGAATGGATGCACTTTCACTGATTTTGCTTTTTAATTATTATTTCAGCTTTTGGCATTGCCTTTGATGAGCCTTTAAGTAAATAAACTAATTAGTGCTCGCCAAAATAGAGCAATGCATAAATTATATAAATCTTTGAGCAAATTCAACTGAAAGTGAATACATTTTGGCGCTTTAGTGCTGAAAATAAATTGCATTTCCTGTTTCGACAAACATGCTAATGTTGATTGCGTAAATTCCTTGCACACATGCACCAGCCAAATTCGACACTTACCGCCCTTCCTGCCACAAGTTTCGCATGCCTCGGAAAATATTTTGTCGCCTGGAGCATTTCTTTAATTTAGTTGTAACTCTAAATTTCTCTGGCTTCTATTTGCACCTATATTTATGTGTTCTTTGCCAGTTGGTGGCGTTTACCCAGTCTCATGCGTTCTGTACATTGGTTTTAGCTCTGGGTTTGACTGTCTTGGTTGTTGCCAAAAGTTTTCGGGCAAAAGAAACTTCTCCTCGGCCAGCAAAACAAAGGCGCAAATTACAATTGAAATTGTTGCCGTTTGTTGCTAGAAATATAAGCATGCAGTCGAGCATCTACACAAAAATTCCACATTTATCAAAAATCGTTGTAAAAGGATACATTTGTTATGATTGAAGGCTCTGCCTTGAACGTGTTTTCGCTTTTATATGGTTTATTTATTTATGCCTGCGGAGTTTGGAGTGCCAGTTGTTAGCGGAAATAAATAATTATTATTTTAATTTCTCAAATTTACCATTAACTTAAAGCTCACATATACCACAATTGCAATGGCGATTTGTGCACTTAAAGGCATTTAAGCACTGCGGATTGCGTATTGCATTTATTGCATAAATTTAGCACTTTAAATGGTAGCTACATAAATATGCATATACACATAACCAGATACAGTTTTTTGCGCTTCTGGTGCGGCTGCCAAGCATTTCCGCAATGGTCCAACGCAAAATTGGAGCATATCCGGTGCGCTTACAAAAGACAAAACAATTACAACAACATTGAGCGTGAGGAAACAAAAAACCAAAAATATAAATAAAACAGGGCAAAACAGCAGTCCCAAAAACGAAGACGGGAACAAAGAACCGTTCTCAGCTACATATTTCTTGGCCAACTTTGTTGCAGCTGCATTTCGCTAAAGTTTCCAGAACTCAAGTCTCGATTTCTTTGATGAAGCAAAAACAAGGCGAAACCACAGCCACCGCAGCATCAGAGTTGAATCCGTGTTCAGCGTTCCAGGACCAACCGAAAGCATCCAAACAGCCAAACAAGCAGCCGCCCAACCACCCAACCACCCAAGAGTATTCCCATTTTCCTCCAAACCCAGTGAAAAACAAAAAACAAAAACAAAAAACAATTACAGCAACTAATAAAGAAACATTTAAAAAGCAAAAGTTTATGCCAGGACCAGCACAGCGCTAAGATTCTTTGCTTAAGGACTCGGACCCTGGTCCGTCAGCAGTTTTCCTCGGCGGTACATGAATAAGCAATTAAAAAGTTGTTATTAAAATTATTATGTGAAATCGTAATGAGAGTATAGTGTTCTCTACAGACAAGTGCCGCCCTGCAGGGCGTTGTTAAATGTTCTGCTGGATCCTGCGCTTTCAATCAGTTTTTATTCCCTTGACCGCGGAGTTCAAGGCTGTCATGTCTTTCATAATTCAATCTGTGCTTATAGATACTTGTTCCCCTTTTTCACCTTCTACCTATAGTCAGCAAAGCACGTGTATGCTACAAATGCATGAGAAAGATAATAATTATATGTTGTAGTATGTAAAAGTATGCAGTCACTTGCCAAACTGCTCGCTCGACCACGTTACGTATACGTAATTTGAGGGTCGAATTGGCGGAACTCTGGCCAATTGCTCGTAGTTGTTGGCTGTTAGGACCTGTGTGCGAGAGTTCACTGTACTGTCGGGCATCGCAATTGATATGTTCAAAGGATGTCAATGCCAGGACAGGTCGCCACTATCAACCGCGCTGTTTGCTGTCCACTGCGGTCGGTGCAACACAACCTTGTGCCACTTTTCATCTTAAAATGCCAACATCTAACAACCAGAATGCCACAGCCACCGACAAACTGGCTTTCCTGTCTCACTGCATATCAGATGCAGCTGCAGTTGGCGATGAGATGCCCAGTTGAGGGTTTCTGGCATTTTGTTTATTTTAATTAGTGGAAAAAATATGGCGCAGGGCACGCAATGAAGTGCTCCACTTGGCCAACTCGCTTCAATGCGTTCCCCACTGCCGCAGGTCGACGCAACAATGCAGCTTTGTTGCGCGCTGCACTGTGAGAAACGGTGTCGCGCTCAAGGAATTGCCCATAAATCCAAGTAAAAATTAGGGCTTTACCACGGCATTTTCCTGAGTGTGTGTCAGGCCAGCAGCCAGGCATGAAAGATGGCAGATGCGTTAGCGCTGGTGGTCCATTCGTTCCTGTCTGATGATGGCGATGGCGATGGCGATGGTGATGCCATCCAGTCCAGCGGAGGAGCCCCAGTCCCCCGGACGGAGTCAACCCATTTGCCAAGCCCCTGCCCTCTGCTCCGCGCCCAAGAACAGATAGCCGTAATGAGCACACCGCAATTTGTGTCGTGTGCTGCGGGCCGTTTGCCATTCATTTGGTAAAAATAACAATTAAATGTTTTCGCAGTGGCCTCTGCCGCTGCCGGGAACTGGACTCGGAGATCTTATGTCCCGTGGTTTGGGCCAACAATTCACTTTTGTTTTTGGCCTTGTTACCGCTCGACTGCGGCCACTGCTATGAAAATAATTGCTGTGCAAATATTCTCCTAAATTACAACATTGTGTATTTATTTTAGTTGGCCTGGCGAACAAACGCCGCCGGCAGTCGGCAGTCGGCAGTCGAGTGAAGAGTCCTGAGTTCCTGAAGAGGTCCTGTCAAGGCTAACGCAGCTTGTCAAATGGGGCAGCACGCACTGAAGAAAAATTCGGCGAGAGATCTGCGCATTTCTTAAGCTTCCTTGAAGTAAATATGCCAGCGCTTGTGAATGAGCAGCAGAAAAGCAACGCCATCGTGTCAAATATATATATAAAAGTTATATCAAGCTGCTTAAGTGGGCCGGGAAGAGGGGATGAGTGGGTCCCTTTATGGTTAATCTCCATAAGAGTTCTTTGATCGGGGGGTTTCCTCCACAACACCTCGCTCTTAAAGACTTGAGGCAGCCAATAAAGCGGCGACACACCTGTTTGCATTGGCTCCCCATCTGCTCAGCTCGCACCACTTATTACGATGATGCATTTTCGGCTTGCACCACCATCGGCAACGGCAACAGCAGGAGGCACCCAAATACCCTAGAAAGGGGCAACTGCAGCCCA